AAGGAAATAGCTCAAGAGTTTCAGGCACATGATGACCAAAAAATGGTCCTTGACAACATGCGAAACATCTTTATTAGAAAGGAAACACATGTTTCAGTTACGAAACTAGAGTTCTGCCAGAAAGCCAAACCACAGCATTTAACCTCTTATATCCTTAATTAACCTGTTCTCAAAGCCCATAGTGTTATGTCTAGCTTATAAACATATACTGAATTCCATGCTTACTAGAATAGCCAGATGAATTTAATATAACACTTTGTTTGTCCTCAAAAGAAATTTTTTTTTTTTTCACCTTATAATGGTAACTCACCGAAACAAAACATTTTCTTTAGTATTAATATCTCATTGTCTATACAGAACCACCCCAAAAAGACAGAGAGATAAATACAGAGGAGTCAAAATCACAGTGGTTAAATCAGCAATATCTCTAAGAAGTACATAGTTCAACTCACATTTAAGTATTTGAACTAACACCTGTTCAGGAAATAGCATTATGAGGAATTTGCATCAAAACAAGGACTTGAATCTTCACTTCCCACATTCTAACGGAGCTGAGAAACATTTTAAGAATTTGTTGATATTTTAGCTTTATCAGATATATGAGACAACCCCATGAGTTTTAAAACACTGTAAGAGTTCGATAGGCATTCTCTAATAATAATAATAAACCAAAATAATCTGGCTTCTTTTTAAACACATCACATTAGCAGATTATTGGAAATAGTCACTATTCAGTATTTCTCTGAATAATTGAAGTGTGTTTTGTATTAAAAAGTGATAATTTATGAGAGAGAACAAAAGCACAAAACTTTTGACCACTGTTCTAGTTATTAAATTTATGACTGGCACAGGCATCTCTGAAATCCCATTTAAAAAAAAAAAAAAGAGAACCAAGTCATTAAGAGGTCCAATTTTCCAAGTTTCTCTAATAGAGAAAAATGTAATACAGATAAGTTTCAAAAGAAAATTATATGCCTTATTTTCTTAGTACATACGACCACAGACATAACTGTTTTAAGGATATTACAACAGGCAAAATAAAAAAAATCACTATGGTATTTTGAACAATCAAGCATTTGGTGTTTGCTCACAAGTAAAAAAGGATTGTCTTGTATTGACCATAAATTGACATAATAAAGTAATGGCCATATTAAAATAATTTCTTGTTTTTCTTATATGAAATATAATTACAATATTATTGCCTGACATACTGAAACATCATCATACGAAAGTACAAGTTTACTTAATAACTCCTAACATAACTTAACTCCTTACTTACTTACTTACTTACTTACTAACATAACTTAACTCCTAACATAACTTCATCACTTTGCATAACTCAAATGTGACTACATTTATATAAGTCTGGGTTTCTTAGCTATATTATCATGACTGCTCTTGAGGTAAATTCCAGCAGAACTCACATAGACATTTTACTAACATTTCCCTTTCTTTGCAAAAACATTCCAATAATTAGTTTGAACGCCCAATGGAAACTAGTTTATTTTAGACATATCCTTAGTTTACAAAGATAAACTAAAAAAAATTCAAAAACCATGCATACTTAACAAGCAGAAATGATAATTCTGAATTCACTTTCTAATGCAGAGCATTTATTTTTTTAAGTAACTGAATGTTGGCAAGTTTTACTTTTTGACTATGTAACTATAAACACAAATTGTTTCATTTTTTCTGCTTTATTTAATTTAAAGCAGTAAACTGAATAATATCCCTTTTATAACATTGTACCTCCACCGCAGAAGGAACAGCTTCACTGAAGATTTAAATGAGATTCACTCCCCTTTTCTGACCTGTTTTTCTACTTGTTGCCATTCCTAGACAATTCTACTGGTAAACATCTGCTATTTTTGCAGGCTTCGTGTAATACAAACAGATGTGGGCTTTTATTTAGCTTATATATCAGGAAACAAGCAGCTGCGCTTTATTACATAAGCCACTCAATATTATCTTTGAACAGACAATTCTTTATTCTCCGACTATTAGAAAACATAAGTTCCCAAAGCTGCAGCAGATGGTCCGCTGCGCTGAAAGCTCCGCTGGAAATCGTGATCTGGAGAGCTGGCCCGTGGCACGGCGGGTGTTTGGGGAGAGACCCCAGATCCAGAGAGTTTCACTCCCTGGAGGCTGAGACTCCGAGTGCTCCTGGAGCTCAGCTCAGACCTCACGGTATCACAAATTACAGAATCACAGAATCTTAGTGGTTGGAAGGGACCTCTGAGATCATCGAGTCCAACCACAAAAAAAAAAAAAAAGCAAAAAAACCCCCAAAGAACACAACACCCCACACCAAACGCCCACCAAAAACACCACACCCACCAACTAAACCTCACACTCAATACCTCGCCATAAACCAATAACCTTGGG